GACCTGGATTGATCGGCTTGAACTTTCGCTTCGGTGGTGACGTGCCACTATGTGGAGCGGGCTCGTCCACGACAAAATATGAAAGTGCGGGTTTAGCTCAGTTGGGAGAGCGTTAGACTGAAGATCTAAAGGTCATGTGTTCGATCCACATAACCCGCAAAATATCTTTTGCTTTTTAATTATTGTTGTCGGAGTCAGAATCGGTGCATTAACGCATTGATTCTTTTTTACTGAAGCCTACCAAGAAGTTCCTAGATACTTCTCGCATCTTCGCCTTCGTAGAAAACAATAGAATCATTACATGTATAAATAATTTGGATAGTTTGTGAAAAAAAACATCATCAAATTCCCTTCCACACTTTTTATCTTTTACTTCTGTTTCTTTATGATTTCTATATTCCAGCTTGATTGGCAACTCGCGTCCAAAACAGTGGCTGTCAATTGACTCTACGAAAACAACATCGTGGTTGTCGTAGCGTGAATTATTCAAACAATTACAGTCAAGGATCTGATATGGTAATCGTCTTTGATGGTCAGGTATCGTCCATAAGTGACAGGAATTACAAGAAGTCTTCGGGATCATCGATCTTGACATAATACTCTCAGTTGCCTTTTCTTTGCATCTTATTACCGTAGTGGACTACATAATTTAGTTAGATCAAAAAGATATAAGCATGGGATGAATTAGATGGAAAAAAGGCAGTGATCAGTTTATCTTATTATATTGTCTTCCATTTTGTTCAGTCTTTACAAGCCAACTTGCAATTCCAGCGCATATGGGTTGGTATCCGCGTGCGTATTCTATCCGGGGCAGCACACAGTCATATACAACAAGTCAGCTGCAAGATTAAAAAAAGATACCAGTCAATAAACTACTTGCTTCAACTGCACAATATTTGTCACTTACAGGCGTCGTAACCCGCCTAAGATATTGCTAGCAACTAGATTGGAGAATATTGATAGACTCAGTTTAAGACCTGGCAGAGAAAGGCTGGGAGGTCATTATCTTTTTATGACCTCCCAGCCTTGGCATCATTTCCTATTCCAAATGAGTTAACGATGATTACATTGAGAGAATTTTTGATGCTTATTGTTTAAATATGGACATTGCAGTAGGGAAGAGTGGAGACAATCAATGAATCCCTCACGCCATTGTTATCATGCACACCCAGCAAGGAAAGGAATACGCATAAACGTGATTTCATCAATGAAAAAAGACGTACATGCAAAATCAGAAAGCCAACAGTGGTCGCATGCTGTAAAACAACTGCATCGTTAGAATGGAAGCTTTAAATAATATTATCAATAAAACACCTACAGACGTCATACCCTATCCAGCGTGAACGCACTCCTTTCGGAGACGCTGATGCTCAACGGTTTGTCCCGTTGAGGGAAACACAAAGAGGGCAAAGACTTGCTCGAGAGATTATCGGTAGCATAGTTATGTGGCACAGAGTTAGTCTATGTTCAAAAAGTAGATGGAGGTACTTAAACTGAAGAGAAGATGAGTAGTCAACAACATGACCATGGCTTCTTTTTTCAAAGGCCCATCCGATGTTATCAGTGCAAAGAAAAAAAAGCGGTATGGATGGGAGAGCAGTAAAAGTAACTACAGCAGATATGATTGTTTAGTATCTAAATTCAGATTACCGCTATGGATTTACGGAACTCATACATGTCTTGGGCTTCAACAGCCCTTGCACAACCTGTAAAGAGGCTAATAAGTAATAGCTCCTATTTCGCAGACTAATTTACTATGAATGGGAAAAGGGTAATATCTCTGAACAGGATCTGTTGATGAATAATAAAGTCGAACACTCAAAGACGGGAACGCAAAAACATCGCTCTATGTCTGGATGTTGGTATTGCCTGCTTTGCAACTCCAGTAACGGTAATGAGCAAATAAATTGAAGGTTGTAGTGTGGTCATAGAAGAAGTAATTTTATTTAATTTTGCAGACAATGAAGGGTGAAGATAGTATTATTAGGTATAGATCTAGAGGATTCTTCCGTAATTGCATGATGGCAAAGTATGTCTATGGTCACTGATATCATGTTCATGCATATTAAGATGGAAGAAGGGGAATCTTCCGGACGCATTTAACGGACATACAACGCAGAAGAGGTTATATCAAATGAGCAAGAAATATCTTAGGCTCTATATGAGAATGAACATTATCATTCTGGTTGGCATCTTTGACTTGAGGAACAATAATACGAGTTGCTCCATGCATTATGAACAATATCAGGCATTGTAATAATATGATGTCTGCTATGGTGAACAGAAGATTGCTGGAGCAAAGGAAAACTAAATAATATTGTAACGCATGCAATGCGGCAGGTTTGTAGTATTAGAGCTGCCTTCTATAGACTTTACGATTTGTTCTGCTTTGTATAATAGATCTGGTCATTGGATTTCCAGCTCAGACTAGGACGACGACACTTCTTGGCAGGTTTTTGCTACCGCAAGATTGACGATTAATCAAAGCGAGGATTAACGCAGCAATTTCTTTTTGAGAATGTCGTCTAGGCTTCTTTCGATCCTCTTACTCAATACATTCTGATATCACTTTTCACTTTTATTGCAATGCAAATCTGTTTATTATCCAACACCTATCTTTAATTTTGACCAAATCTTGTTCTTATTAATTTTGTGATTGGGTTTTGTTTTAATCCGATTTTGGTATTGATTTAATCCTTCCATTATTCATGGTTTAAGACAACTGGAAATGTGTAGTTGCGTCGTTGAAATACGTTCTAAACTACGTTTACTACGTCTAGCTGAAAGTATCTGTAGGAATCAATGTAGTGTGGCCAAGAGGTACGAACTGTCAGCTTATGTTCTTGCATTATATGTTATGTTTTAATTACATCAAGCTAATTCTACAATGATAGTCTATCAAAATAGATTATGTGGCGTAATATGTTATTATTAATTAAATAAAACAGTAGCAATCTGGAAGCGAGCGTATGGCCATTCCTTCATCAAAATTTTTCCTTTCTTATGATTTCGAACCACTCGCCACTTCCAGTTTCAATAGTCTGGAGATAATACTCCGAAAGCCCTTCAATGGCTTTCTCTTCCGTCTGAATTTGAACAAGGCTTTTTTTATGCCGTTTGCCTTTGATCCAGTTGTCCTCGATTTCTTGTTGTTGCTGAATTGAATGAAACGACTGTACTCTACTAATCTCGGTACACGGATCCTTTCCACCTGCTGCCCGCTGCCTTGAAGATCGACGAGCTGGAGTCATACTAAACGTTGGACCAATGCTGCGGAAGGGATCAAAAACGTTCATAGCTAGGTTGTCATCCGGGTGACGTTCAGATATGCTTGGCTTATCGAAAAAGGATTTTGATACATAACTGTACGCCATGCATTAGCTATTCTGCGTAACAAGATAGTGAACTTACACTTTCTTTCCCTTGTGGTTTTCATCAAATGAACTTGTCGAGATCTGTGGTGATGAAATGGATCTGTCCTCAATTTTCAAGCGTGGTGGCTCTGCTGTCTTAATTTTATCCATACTACTCTCAACGGCAACTGGTTTTCCCCATATAGGCTTCGGTGTAGATACTGCAGCAAGAATACTAGCCATTTCTTGTTGCTGAAGTTTGCGTCTCTCTTTCTGAGAGATCTTTTTCGGAATGTACGGGTTGGATATCTAGATATAGCCATGTTTAACAATCGTTAACACTGGACAGCAAGCACAAGCTACCTTTCCAGTTATTGACGATTCCAAAGCCTTCTTTGATTGTCTGGGTTCCTCTTCTAATATTTGTCTTAACGACGGCTTTTCGTATCTGTTTTGAACTAGTTATTCTCACGCAGATCCTCATCTTCTAAGTGCTACTCACTGTGCAGATCCGCTAGCGAGAGACTCAACCCAGCTAGCTTGGCGACCATTTCTTGGAACCGGTTCCTTTATATCTATTGATGATGCAGCTTCGTCTTTTTTCTCTCTATGCTGATCGTTGATGTCTACGAAGCTTTTGGTTTCGTGCCGTTGATTTGATGGCTTTTCGCGAGACAACTCAGCCTTGCCAACCTCTTCACGACTAGGAGTTTCTGCAGTGTAGCCGTTTTTCTGCTTGGGGTATAACGTCACGAGTTGGTCGGTGTACTTAGTGATGACAGGCTTATCTTCCCGTGAAAGGGTATACAAAGACGTAGAGAATTCCTCATCTTGAATGTCCAACGGGAAGTCTGAGTGCGGATTCCACGCCTCTTCACGTCGCACATATGGTGCCTTTTCTGCTTGTCGTTGACGGATATACATTTCCAAATCATGGATTAAAGCTTCTTTGCTTAAAAATGCACTTCAAATTCATAGAACTTGTTAGATCATACCAAAATAGTAGATAGTGAAGAGCTTACCCTGAGAAAAGATACGTAGGTAAGTTAGCAGCAATGAATGATAGGCATCCAGTTTTCAACTGCTCAGCTAAATACATATCGGCCCACTCTAACAGAGGGATTGCGGTCCGCAATGCTATAAACTTGGTTAATGCGCGTTCGCACAAATTCTTCAGTCGGTGGAGCAACAGCTCTTCTGCAACACAGAGTATGTCTAAAAAATAGTGAATCATCTCCTCCGTTGATTGTTTCTTGATATCGTTAAACAGTCTTGTATCGTCTTGATCAGTATACAGATATCGCAATATAAGCTCCATTGTTTCCTTATGTATATGGTTCATATGGATCTCGATATAGTTTGAAGCATTAGCACGTTTCCGAGCCTGTTTCCGATCTTCAACCCATACAGAACTGGGGCATAGCAATTTTTCAAAAAAAGGGCATCGTTGACGTACAATGACCTCATGGCATAAAAGATCACCACCTTTCAATATAAGCTTCGTATCCGCGCCTTTTGTTTCGTGACAAAGGCGTTCCATATCAACAACAAGCGATGGTCGAGGCTTGTGACTGAATGAGGATAGCGCAGAGTCGTATAACAGGGGTAAGCCAAACGATTGTGCTAACATTAATAGATCTTTCTGCACGGAGGCCGGCATAACTGCTAATGTCTGTTCCTGGCAGAGAAAGGGTGGCCTATAGAAAGCGTCCATGGGATGACAATATTTGTCCGTATACAAGTAGTCGAGAAAAAGCAAAAAGGCTTCAAGATGGCATTGCTTCACATCTATCTCTATGCGACTTG